GCATTTGGTATTTTCAATGATTTCTGAATATTTCCAATTGTAATTGAAAACTGGAAGTGGAACAATGCCATGGGCCATCTCAGTTTTGGGGCCCAGAACAGCGACTTGCATCCATGAGGAGGAAGCCCACACCTAGCACTCTCTCATTTTGGTGCGGGATTCCATCCACTTCAATCCCATGGGGGTGTCGCTCGGTTCAATATCAACCAGCCAGTCTCTCTGCCGATGTTGGTGACTGCAACAACTACAAATACTCACGCTGAAACGTTCATAATAAAAAAACTACTTTCCCATGTATTGTTTTACTTTGAGTGGTTTACCCCAATTGAAGTCCAGAATACTTTACTACCCCCCCACCGCCCCGGCTTAGCTCAGTGTGTATGTTACCAAAATTAATTCGCTGCCTGCCAAATCTAATTAAATGAACGTAATTGAGAACAGAAACAATGGTCATGACAACAGTTTTAAGGATAATTTACTCATAAAGCTGAGCAATGCATAACTATGATCCTTAACAGCATTCGAGGCTGTGAGAAGTCACATTGTGGGATCTCACAGGCCAAGGTCAGAGTACCGGGACAAGTAACAACACCAACATCAGCGTGTGCTGGCCATGCTCCGTACTCTCCTAAAATCACGAGGCCACACAGATTCCTCTGCCATCCTCCATCACTGAACTCGCTTGCCTAGACGTCGCTACACAATGCATGCAATTTGGCATTTGATCAACCCTCCGCCCAAGAATGTGTGCTTTAAAATTCAAAACTAAAATTGCCTTTCTCTGCTCAAATGAGAAAACGGGTCTCTGGTGTCTGTTGGTGGTCTTGGGCCAGCGCATGGAACCTCTGCGTTCCCTCCACAGCACAAGCGAATTGTAAATTCTCACCAAGTGGTGCTCATTCACCATTGACCCTGGACAACCCACCCCAGAGTTCACCTCCGTCGGCAAACGCCGCACTCAGTGGAGCTCTGTAACACTGCGACATTCACCAGCAAATTGCACGGTCCACATCAAATCTGTATATCCTCTCAAAAATGTTTAACTTTAGCTGGAAAAGAACCATTGGATGTCCATAATAGAGGTTTTTGGGTTAGATCGCGTAAATATATAAATACTCTTCGGTTCTTTTGGTAAAGTCACGTAGGTAGAAAAATAAAATAAAACTTAAAATAATACATCACGACGTTTCGATCACAACACAAGCGCTCGTCCTCAAGCGGAAACAATAATCCAGCAGTGGAAGTGCTGAACGCAAGCACGTCAGTTGTGTTAATGGGGGAGATATAAAAGTGTCGTTAAAACCCACCACCACCCGACACAGCCAACTAGTAAGGGTTGTCACGTAAACTGAACGTGCCAATTCGTCACTAGCACAGCACTAACCGGTGTGTTGGAGAGCCAAGCCACAACATTTACAAACTGAGTACGACGTTTCACCAGTAATTACAACTAGCTTCATCAGGCGACAGCCAAATTTGTGGAGAAGTCTTACTGTTTCGTTCCTTATCTAGAGGCGTAGATGTGTTGACCACCCTTCTGCGCTATTGCACACTTTGAATCTCTGCATCTTTTGAGGAACGCCAGTGAACTCCAGAAAACTGGAGAAACTCCTAATTAAGCGGGGGGCAAAAGGCTCAACGTGATTCCTGCACATTCTGCTGGTTCGACAGAGTCCGTGGTTTTTGGGAACACATGGTCGAGCTTGCCACTGGCAGTGAACCTGCAGAGGTCGTTCAATCATCCCTGCATCGTCGCAATGATTCCGGGTTTTTTTTCCATCGCATGTCCTGTCCACGTTTTTAGAGCCCACAACACATAGCCAGTACAAAAAGGGATGCTGTGGGTGACAAAGGACACTCCCTGCTGGACACCTGGCCCTGCCTAGAACCACTCTGTGGTGTCTCTCCTCAAAATCGCAGCACACAAGCCTGAATCTCATCATAGCTGGCCTGTGTTGCAAGAAACGCCACAACAACAATTACAAACGCCCCTGGCACTTCTCCCCAAACGGAAGCGAAATGCTTGTTTCAAAATTGATTTTAAGCTTTCGTGACTGCAGGAATTACTCTTTGTTTCGTTCGGTAAAGTCACGTAGGAAATAAATAAATAAAAGAATACGACGTTTCGATTGCAACACAAGCAATCGCCATGTTTCAAGTTTACAAACAATCCACACATTCCCTCGATATTCCCAACTCTGTCCTAAGTTATCTGACAATACGAATTTGATCGCTACTTCTCCTGTCCGCTATAAAGCTACACTTTAGTTCTAACGTTAATTCTGGTTTTCACGGGTGGTTATTGACACACTCTGCAGCTGTCCTTACCCGGAGCACATCGGTGACCACACACACATACAAGCGTACGTACATACACGCATACATACGAGCAGTGTAGCAAATCTACCGAGGCAATGGGTAGCACTTGGCTGCTAGAACGCCGTGTGTGTGGTTGAGGTGGCTGAGCAGCATTACATGAGGTCAGTGTCAAGAATGCCACACAATGACATTCAAAGGCAATTGTTAATGCTAACAAATCCGTCATCAGCAATGTTCTACGATCCATAAGAGATCTCCGTGCACAGGTGCATTTTCACAGCCATGCGTGTTATTTTTTTACTGAACTATAGTTTTACTGAACTATAGTTTGACTGAACTTTAGTTTTATTGTACTAGTTTAAAGTGAATTTAGGATAATGGAGTGAACAAATCTAAAAAAGATGGAAAACATTTCCAAGTGAAAAACATTAGATGGTGAAAACGACACAAAAATAAATCACTGTCGACCCAAATTGTCACCTAAAATCATGACAATTCAAAACTGCTCGTGGGCAATGCCTATTACTCTACGTTCTGCTTGACGAAGTGTGCCATTGGATTGCTTTGGCAAAGACTTTTTCTTAAAATTGAAATGTCAACGATAAGTGGGCAGTGTGCATTAAATCCAGAGACGAGCGATAGTGGGCAGGCCTAAACAGGGAAGCGTACACTGAAAATCAGTAGACTCGAGACGAGGTGATGGAGCTGGATATGAAACGGGCGCTGTACACCCACACACAAAGAAAAAATATACTTTTATCCCCCATATAGCCTTAATATACTGTTGGGTCAAGTGCTGTTAGCGAGCACCTATGGCTGGTACGGCATATGAGGGGGTGGGTGGCCAACACTACGCCCGGCCGCCTTTGTCTCCCCAGTGGCGATGTACACACACTGCACCAGGTACTCATTTGAGGCTGAATCGACCTAGGGGAGGCCCAGGACCAGTTCAAATAATCGTCACCAGTGTTGGCCATGAGCGGGAATCGAACTCGGGTTACCAGGCTCGATATACCCAAACATACCAACACACAACAACAACAACAACCGCCATTCGCCACTAAGTGGCGGTGACGTCACCACGACGCTTGTGCCAGGCTATGTGCACCCTGAGGCCACGTGAAGTGTCGAACGCCCGCTGGCAGGAGGTCACGGGGCAGACCCAGGTGCCACGGGTCATACCCAAACACACACCCAAACACAGTCAACGAGACCAAAACTACAGCCGCACCAGACAGCCTGCGCAGGGACACTGTGCAGCATAATTCTTCAAAATGTTATTAAAATCTAAACACATGACAGTTTCCACGTGACATTACATCGCAGCTGTACATCTGATACGAAGTTAAACAACCGAGGCTCTGATAGCCAGTCCAGGTTGTTTCCAAGAAATCCATTGCTTCGATATGAAATTCTCAAGTAATGAAAATGTGTAAGTATTTAAGCAATTTAGTCTTCCCATGTATAAATTATTATTTAAGCGAACAAGTTGGCACCACACTACCAATACCGCATGCAACAGCAAAACCTGATCTTCACCAAACAAACCTTGTACAATTAAACGATTAACAAAATCCAACCGTCACGTAACAACCAGAACGACCGTACATCACAAAAACCAGCCAGTGCACGATGCCCGCGTGAGCGCTTTGTGATGCCGGTTTCAATTTTCACTCTGGCCACTGCCAGCAGGGCTGTGGGATTTGGCTGTGTGCCAGGAGTGGCTAAACAAAAATCCTTCCCTTCGCGAGCCTCCTCTCCACCTGCCCTGCCCCTTGAAACCTCCCCATGGCCCAAAGTGCTTCATAGGCACTGTACCATTGGCCGGTAAAACCCAGCCCCCACTGGGCAACAGCCTGCGGTGGTAGGCCCTGTAGTTGGCACTGCCAAATACTTTTTTTAACACTTCATTTCTTAAAGCGAGTAACATCCCTTTGTATCACTGGGTATAAGTTAACGTCTAATTTTCAGTCATCCCAAAATCCACTACCAGTAATAGCAGGCCCGGATTAAAGAAATAGCCTACATAATGGCCCCTAATTGCAGTCAATACATTTAAGTTCCATCCATGTGATGTGGAATTAGGCCACATATGTCATTAAATTATCGTTGTCAATGTTTTTCTCTACATGTTATAAGATGTATGTTCTCTCATCGCCCAGGGGCAACCCATTGAGATGTATTATCGGTCTTGTAAATGGGACCATGGAAAGCACAGTCAGGGTTTTAGTTGGGTTTAAGTGTGACAATATAGTTGTATTTTGGATTTAGAATGACACAGGCATACCATGCTTCTCATGAATTATGTGGATTCCATAAAAGAAACACTTTCTAGCTGAGTGCACGCTCGACCTAGGTAAATAACTCTGCCGGTTTGGACATGACGCCTTCACTCTGTGTAAAGTCGCCCTGCGATGGCCGTGCCGACCGCTTTAGTGCCCATCCACCACAAAATGCCATTTTTTTGCACAGACTTTTGCAATCGTAATATTTCCAGGGTTCGCTCGGGGGGGGGGGGGGTAGGGGGGGGTCAAGTTACATCCTGGGGCTCATCACCATCACGGCAAACAACAACTGGAAGTCACAAATGCGCGATTGCGCTCCCTCCGAAGAGGGACAGAGACAGCAGACGGAGCCGCGGGCAACGTCACACCGGTGGGGGGGGGGGGGGGGGCGCTCACCCGCAGGGTGCCGGGGCTGCCGCGGGGGCCGGCCGCGTCTCGGAAGGGGCCGCCGGAGGCGCCGGGCGGCCCGCACACCAGCAGGCTGGCGCCGCACTCCATGAGCTCGGCAAGCTCGCGCAGGAACACTCCGCAGAAGGGCAGCGGCGTGGGGCGGCCGGGCGCCGTGCGCCGCAGGGCCCGGGCGTAGCCCTCCACCGAGCCCAGCACCGACATGGCCTGCTTCAGGCTCTGCACGGCCTGCATGTCCGAGGGCTCCATGAACTGCCACATCTTGAGCACCTTGCGGGACCTGCTCACCACGAGGGTCGGAGGGGAGACAATGGACTCGAATCAACCCAACATACCAGAGGCTCGTGGATCAAACAGGAAGAGTCATAGGCGACACAATACCCAAGAGGCATAACGACAAAACTAAATTAAATTTCAGAATAAAATTGTTCCCACAAATCGTGACAATTAAACAAACTGTGGGGAGGTGAATCATTGCACAGCTATGAAGCAACATTGCTAGGAGAGGTACAGAACTGGCCCAGTCCAGGCGTTAAACTTGTGTAGAACAGGAGCCTGCACAAGCACAGGCCTCGTGCGAACAGAAGGAAGCAACGTCCATCGTGTCCGGATCGGCTGCACTCGTTGCGCTCGCTGTCTGGAGTCGTATTATGTTGTGGAGAGGCTCAAGGTCAAGATGAGAGAAAGAGGGCGAGGTTGAAGGCGAGGAAGCGAAGTTATGACCTGAGGCCGGAGAGGATTTCGGCGACGCCGTGGTAGTTCCTCTTGTGGTAGCAGGCGTAGGCCGCCTGCACCAGGCAGGAGTATGTCTGCCGCTTCTCTTCCATGGAGGGGGCGGCCAGCACGAGCCACGTGACCCACGTGCTCACCTCCACCGAGACAGGGACAGGAGCAGGGGAAGGGGCATGGTGCAACACGGAGGATGAACAATGCTTGAATGTCCGCAGCGTGGGAGAGCTCAACAAAAAGTTAGGAAGAATGTGTTATTGTACTTTGTTAAAATACGTTTTTTAAAAATCTTGTTTTAATAGAAACGGCGATGTTGATGGTCTTCTATTAAAGGTGACGGACCAGAGTCATAAGCAGTCCATACTTTGCAGCGGATAGCGGCCTCTGGCAGCTCCCTGCAGAAATCACCAAGACACTGGGACCACAGAACCTTGACTACGTGCAAGGTGGCTCGATGGCTCGGTGACGCATTGAAGCTCCCCTACCCCGGTGTTTTCACCGATTTATTGCTCTGCCGCTATTTCTTCGCCAGGTGTTTAGGGTGCGCGCGATTGACTGCAGAAAAGCACGGGAATCAAATTCAACAAAAATGAGTTAATAGGTGTCAACGTTTCGTTTAATTCTCCAATCGCCAGTTCTGCTAATCATCCAGTGTTGTCATCACTGCTGAACACTGCGCTTTGTTTCTGATCCTGGGACCAACCGTGAGGGTGTGTGTATGTGTGTATGTTGAACTTCATTCGCACCGTAAGTAGCCAACCGTGTCAATCGGAGGAACGGGGAAAGACAACAAACTAAACACAAAAAGCAACCATATTCCCATACCTCGTTGAACCAGTCCACCAGGGCCTGGACGGCGTCCTCTGGCCGCAGGCCGCCACCCTGCTGCTGCTCGGCTGGCGCCACGTCGCTGCCACGCTTCCCCCGCAGGCCGGCGAGGACGGAGTCCGTGGTGGCGGGCGAGGACAGGTCCGTGGTGAGGAAGGCGAGGTAGGAGCCGGGAGAAACGTCCCGGTACAGCGCGACCTCGCGCTCCCACAGAACGCCGGCCACCTCCTCGGGGAAGGCGAGCAGCGAGCAGAGGGCCTCCAGCTCGGGGTTCGTGGCGCCTCCTGCCGCCGTCGGCTCGAGGCCGCTCGTGCTGGGCAGGGACATTGCCAGGCCTCGCCCTGACCCAACGACAACACCACCCAGCCGGTCAGTGAGGCTGTGAGAGATGTCACCCAGCCAGTGACACAGAGACACTAGCCAGCCAGCCAGTGACACAGAGACACTAGCCACCCAGCCGGTGACACAGAGACACTAGCCACCCAGCCAGTGACACAGACAACACTAGCCACCCAGTCAGTGACAGAGACACTAGCCACCCAGCCAGTGACACAGAGACACTAGCCACCCAGCCAATGACACAGAGACACTAGCCACTCAGCCAGTGACACAGAGACACTAGCCACCCAGCCAGTGACACAGAGACACTAGCCAGCCATCCAGTGACACAGATACACTAGCCAGCCAGCCAGTGACACAGAGACACTAGCCACCCAGCCAGTGACACAGAGACACTAGCCACCCAGCCGGTGACACAGAGACACTAGCCACCCAGCCAGTGACACAGAGACACTAGCCACCCAGCCAGTTACACAGAGACACTAGCCAGCCAGCCAGTGACACAGAGACACTAGCCACCCAGCCAGTGACACAGAGACACTAGCCACCCAGCCAGTGACACAGAGACACTAGCCACCCAGCCAGTGACACAGAGACACTAGCCACCCAGCCAGTGACACGGAGACACAAGCCACCCAGCCGGTGACACAGAGACACTAGCCACCCACCCAGTGACACAGAGACACTAGCCACCCAGCCAGTGACACAGACAACACTAGCCACCCAGCCAGTGACACAGAGACACTAGCCAGCCAGCCAGTGAAACTGCATCCATATATGTTTCATCCAGCAGATACGTATACACTAGTTTGGTCTAATACTCTGCGTGAATAATAATAATAATCTACCCTTCCGTTTGCCGGCACTGCTGTTCGTCTCCACCATGGACGCATGCTACCAAAGCCCGCTTACTTTCTTAACAACCAATGTGATGTCTCCAACTTGTGCTCGTTTTCTGATCCACGTGTGTCCTCTTCCTGTCTCTCAGTCTTAATTCTCAGCCTCCACCTCTCTGTGCTTCTTAGCGTCATACGTTACTGTGCGACACACCAAGTCGACGGGAAACCAACTGGCTTGCAATCGGAGGCGGGTTGTAATCGGAACCGACATGACCGGGGTCTCATCGCACCGCCACAGGCGTGGGTCCCGGTCGCTACGACGAGGGAGGTCCCGGTGAGTGAAGAGTCGACTCTCGGTGAGAGCAAGGCTCAGTGTTGGTGAAACACGACTTTAGTGATACGACTGTGGAAAGGGCACCCCCAGTGGCAGCTGTCCCTGTGAGCACAAGGCGACTCATCACCCGGCTTGCAAGTGGGCATTATTGTGGCAGTCTGGGGCCAATGCTTGGCAGGTTTAATCCCAAATCTGGAACGTGGCGGCGGCACACAATGGGCGACTCGATTCGAATGCCGTCAGGGGATCTTCAACGTTCATTCATTCATCACGCAGTCAGCGGAGGGCCGTTGCGCCAAACGCGTGACCTCTTGCGACACCATTTGCATAAACTGCTCTTGCTGCTGAACACCGGTAACTCGAGTGATTTGTTTGAACCACGGATCACGGGGGGGACCATGGGGGGGAGCGCCATTCCTTTGAGGATCAGCAGTCCGCTTGGAATGTCGACTGCCAACTGAAGTGAGGGCAATATTCTAGAGTTTGCACATCAACACGGGCGTCATGCCCACTACGAATCAGACGGTGCTGAGCACGCAACGGCAGTACCATCACCACGGCGGCCTGCCGGATCCGAGCCGGGAATCTCTGCAACAGGAGGTTAACGTGCTAACCGCCGAGCCCCATCACGGCCCGGCACTGTCACGGCTCGTGCCCTGACGTCAGCGAGAAGGCCGACTGTCAGATCGAGTCGAGCAAACCGGTGACCGACGTTCATTCCGTCCTGTTACATTGTTTGAGATATCTGCTCCCGCTGGGATCAAGGCTTTTATATTTGGCGGTGGCATTTTGTGCCAGGCTCTCCCCTGGCGAGAGTGGTGGGAGAAGGCAGCTGGTGGGGGGAGGGGGGTGCTGGAGATGGGTGAAGACAAAGAGGCCCAAAAACCGGAACCACCAACAGAGCTGGCCACTGGTGGGCACCATCCCACACGCACACAAAAACAAACCGGAGCAAGCCGTGCGTACCAAGAAACATCACAACACGTGCACATGCAATCGCACTCGCGCACACAACAAGCGTCCGCTATGCAACCTCACAGACTGCTGGGACGCACGACTGTTAGCGAACACCTATTAAGGCCAGCACTGCGCACAAATGGTGGTTTTATGGCTGGCTCTCCCCAGGGCTGACACACACCGACAACTGGTACTCGCCGAAGGCAATTCATAATACATCGGAAACACGAGCAAAAACTACTGCACGTGTTATTTAGCGATACTTGATATCAGGGGAACACCTGTGACACTGACGTGCATCACGCACGGTGTGACATGTACAGTCACGTGAGCCGGCTTCACGAGCGTCTGCAGAGCTCACCGCCAACAAACACCGCTATTGCTTGTTAAGTGGCATCTGTGTTCAAAAAAACGCTCTTGGCAAATTGCTGTTTGGTTTAATCCTACCCTCTAATCTGCTTCTCTCCCTTAAAGGTAATTATCCAACCCTTGAGCAGCTAAATTAAAGGTAATTTAACCATGTCTCACTACAGCGGGGGGGGGGGGGAATACCATCATTGTGTAAACTATGCCACAAATGAGAGTATCGGGAGGGCTACTAAGGCCTGAACGTGCATTAAATATTCACGCACGCAACATGCTTAACAGCAACGCCGTCAAACGAGTGCTCCTTAGTGGGTAGCGAAATGAACGGTCGAGGAGCGCTTGCACTTGCAATGAGATGAAGACGAGTGCTCCTTACGAGTGAGACGGAATACTTATTTAGGATGCACGAAGAGGCAAGAAAATAATGGGGAACAAAAACAAAAATTTTACACAAATATAAAAAAAATACTTTAAGAACCATAATTATACAATTATATATTCTTGCAGAATGGTGGTAGAGGTAAAGGCGCAGCCCTGCAATTGCTGGCTCACGTCGCTGCCTCCACTTAGGGGAGCCTTTGCCCCAATCATCCACAAGAGGGGGGCTCAAACCCAAACCCTCCACTTAGGGCGCTCTGACACGAACTCTCCACTTAGGGGGCTCTGACACGAACTCTCCACTTAGGGGGCTCTGACACGAACTCTCCACTTAGGGGGCTCTGACACGAACTCTCCACTTAGGGGGCTCTGACACGAACTCTCCACTTAGGGGGCTCTGACACGAACTCTCCTCTTAGGGGGCTCTGACACGAACTCTCCACTTAGGGGACTCTGATACGAACTCTCATCTTAGGGGGTTCAAACCAACACCCTCCACTTAGGGGGCTCTGACACGAACTCTCCACTTAGGGGGCTCTGACACCGGTGTCACAGTACTAGAAATGAGGACACACACACACACAAGTACGTGTGTGTGCGTGTTGGATAGCTGTGAGAGTGACCTTCCAAAGGTTACATTCACTGTCAGGTTCGCCTATTTATAATTTCGGCACAGCAGTGGTGAGTAAGTCGGCACATATTCCACACCACGGCATCAACACTGAATTGCATCCCAAGCAAAGAAGAATCAAGGCGAGAAAGTTAATCGATAACCACGTCGCCGATGCCACCACGACACGATGCCATCGCAGAAGGCAATCAGACTCCTCCAGCTGTCACACCATCAACCCCCCCCCCCCACCACCTTCACAGTCCGAGCATCTCCCCCTATCATCGTCCGCCTTGCGGCCTTCTCTGTTGATAACCTCGGGGGTGCCGCTCCAAAGCCAAAGATCTCCCATATAGCCTTAACAGACTGTTGTGGCAAGTGCTGCTATAGTGTTGCACTGTTGCCGCTCCAAGGTCTCTCTCCAACATGCCCTCCTCTCATTACACCTCTGTGCTCGAGCTTACACCTTCTTTTCCGGATTTCAACTTGCAGCATTGTCAACATGCACCAGCACTGGAAGGCCAGAAGCTCCGTTTTTATTGTTTTGTTGAAGTCCAGCTCCACGGACCTGGAGTCTACCACCTCTGCACCCATCTCTGCACCTCCGATTTATTTCATAATCATCAGCATCAGCTATGGTTAAATCCACCGCGAAAGGAAGACCTCTCAAAGATGTTGCCACTTATCGCGATCTTGCGATATAACAGTCCACCCAGCATCTGCACATGAGCTGATCTCAAAGCCCCAACTCACCGCCCCAACTCACCGCCCCGTCTCATTGGTGGACATCCTCTGGGTCGCTGCGTTCCACTCTGAGGCTGCCACTCCGTTTTTAGTTGTCTAAATAGTTTGGATGATGTCATCAACCTGTCCTCTAATCCACGTATCCATCAAAAACCTTCACTGCGACTCAACATCTCTTGCTTTCCCTCTGTAACGAACATTGCCATGAAAGTTCACGAAGGGCCGTTTCTACTTCCGCACAATCACTTCTCACCAGCGCCATCATCGCAGTGGTGCTTGAGGCCCCAGACTCACCGCCGCCTTCAACTTCTCGTTTGGAAAGCAGCGAACCGGAGCCAAGTGGACGAAGCGTGCGAGATATTAAAAGGAGGCGAACAGATGGTGCGGCGACTTTGATGAGGCTATGAATGCTGCACGCAGTATGGAACAGTTGCTGCAGGGCTGAAAAGGGCTATTGTCAAATCGCTCAACAAACAGGAGAGGGTGACCAGAGGGTTACATTTACTGGCCATTCCAGGGCAAATATTGACCTGCGTTTGTTGAATTAAACTCACCATGTACGGGCCCCTCTGTTAATCCACTGCTGGGTGAAGGCCTTCGCCATGCCATTTTAATCATGGGAGTTATTTGACCACACTTAACCATGCCGGTAAGTGCAGGTCAGATATCGCACGCCGCTCATGAAAGCCATGGGCAGCGTTCGAACTCGGGTGGTCAGGTTGACAACGCGGTAACGTGAACCGCCGCGCCACTGCCTGCCTGGCACATCGCTCTCGCCTGGCCCTGTTAGACGCTGGACATGGGACGAAGCGGCTGTCAGTGATTACAGGCAGCGGGAATAATCCAAACGGGATGAACAGGTGCCAACGCTACATTCCCGGCTGAACGCAGTCATTCGCCCCGATGGTTATTTGTCGTGTACCAATTTGACTGGAATCAAGTGGATTTGAATGAATCATTTCCTTCTTTTAAAATCGACGCTGCGGAACGTCACACCCGCGGCGGCGTTGGCCCTGCCACGTCATGGCCCCGACACGTTCACCCGGAGCCCCCCGTTAGCCCCCCGTCTCGCACGGGGGGCTAACGGAGAAGCAGCTCCACACCGATTCGTACTCACTCTGTTGGGAGCAAAGTTAACGTGCACATTCCATGTCTCTCCACAGAGGGCCCCTGAAAGGTCGCCGGGTTCATGAGTGACGCCACGGCCGCATCCCCTGCGCTGTCATGGCCTCCGTTTGTCTGTGCTGCTGTTGTCGTCGTGGCCGAGGAGAGTTCGGCAAGATCTGCGTGGCGCTGCGTGGGGGATGCAAGTGACGTGGCCGCGCGATGGCTGGCGTCTTGTGTTTCGTAGGCTTGCAATGATCCATCGATTGAAGTACGTTTGTACGATCATGATACACCCATCGAACTACGGCTCCCCATGATTATGCCAATTAGATACCAATGAGGTGTGAATGTAACTCGAGGTGAACTCGAGACACCGGCTTTCACTGGGAGAGATCATGTAGATCGTACCTTTAGGTGAATTAAAATAATGACAAAAAACATATGCGACAAACAATACAAACAACAAAGCATAAACAAGATACAACGAATAAATTTTTGATTCAAATTGTTACCCTGAATTGTGACAAATTAATTACTGAAGGAGGCAAATTGTTAAGTGCCGGCGAGCGAGCGAACGTCCTACCTTTGGCAGGGCTCTTCCCCTGCGCGGACGCGGTGGTCAGCACGGGGCTCGTGACCCCGGGGCGCGACCCCAGCAGGAGCACGGCCTCCAGCAGTGCGCCGGACACGCGCTCCCGGAGACCCTCGCCGGGCAGCCAGCCCCGCACCGCGACCGCGGCCGCCGGGGCCTTCGCGGCAAGCGCCGCCGCCACCGCTCGCGCCCGGGCCGTCGCCGACTCGGCCAAAATCTTCCTGGACGAGTGCAGGAGGTGCGCGTCTCCCCCGTGCGACAGGAGCACCTGCGGGGAAGAAGCGGCGGCGGCGCGGGTGAGGTCACTCGCGGGGCCGACGGGACGCGTCGCCGGCCGCCAGCGCCTCTCGCGTGGCTGCGAAACGCGACGGGCAGCTGCAGGCTCTGTCCTCGTACGCCCGCCCGCTCGCTCGCCCCGCTCGGTGTGCAAACAACGGCGTGCGCGCGGGCACCTGGATAGCAAGGGGGCCGGCCGATAAACCACTCGACGTGAACGTGACATTCAGCGGCACGGCGGGTGACGAGCCGGCAAATCGGCGGGCCCACGTGGGCGCGCGGTCGCGGCCAATTAACACCGGAGCGGGGTGCCGGCCTCGCGGCGGGAGGAGAGCACGAGGCGCACGCTCGCACGCAGCGGGGCCCACCCGCACCACGGGCAGGCCACCCCGGAGCGAGCAGAGGTGTGTGTGTGTGTCTTTGTGTGTGTGTGTGTCTTTGTGTGTGTGTGTCTTTGTGTGTGTGTGTCTTTGTGTGTGTGTGTGTGCGTCTGTGCGCATGTTTGTGTGCGTGTGTGCGCGTTTATGTGTGTGTGTGCTTGTGTGGGCGTGTTTGCATGTTTGTGTGTTTGCATGTTTGTGTGTGCGTGTTTGCATGTTTGTGTGTTTATGTGTGTGTATTTGTGTGTGCGTGTTTGCGTGTTTGTGTGTGCGTGTTTGCATGTTTATGTGTGTGTGCTTGTGTGGGCGTGTTTGCATGTTTGTGTGTGTGTGCTTGTGTGTGCGTGTTTGCATGTTTATGTGTGTGTGTGTGCTTGTGTGTGTGTGTTTGTGTGTGCGTGTTTGCATGTGTGTGTGTTTGTGTGTGTGCGTGTTTGCATGTTTGTGTGTGCGTGTTTGCATGTGTGTGTGTTTGTGTGTGCGTGTTTGCATGTTTGCGTGTTTGCGCGTTTATGTGTGTGTGTGCTTGTGTGTGCATGTTTGTGTGTGCATGTTTGTGTGTGCGTGCGTGCGTGTGTGCGCAGCTTCCTCGCGGATTATCGCGCCCCATCCCGCGGAGAGCGCAGCGCCACAGGAGGCCTCGCGGCGGCTACGGCGGCGCGGAGTTGCGGGGGACGAGATGCAATTAGGAGTGGGAGGCGGGGGTCGGCGGCCTCCTGGTTGAAGAGTAAAACGCTCGCAACAGGAAATAAGGAAAGCGACGGCTCGGGAGCACGCCGAAGAAGACAACAAATTCGCGGAGATGAGGATGCGGTTATGTTTTTGTTTGTTATCGTCGACAAATAAAATTCAGATTAAAGTGATCGCTTGCCAGTGTGGAACAAAACGGGGTAAGAGACTCCTCCTCCGTGCGACGTATTCTCCGGATTGTACGAGACACTTCCCCCCCCCCCCCCCCCCCCGTGTTTTACAGCCAAATCTGGGGGATGCTTCTTAAGATCCGCATGCCTGAGCCAGTGGTGAAAACTCCACGTTCCTATGACAAGCCGTATGTATGTACGTTGAACTTCTTTCGTACCGTACATAGCTAACCGTGCTCATCGTAGGTGCGGCCTATTTCTGTGTCTGCGTGACGCCAGATTTGTTTAACGACGTTGACACGGGCCACGAGTTCAGGCCACGTCTCACTTTCCAGAGCGTCTCATCCTCACGCGGCGGAACGCAGCCCCCTTTCCTTCTTGACATTTGCAACGTCCAAGGATACGGCATCACGTTTCATATTGGAGCCGGGTTTTAATGTCGCACATTGACATATATATGTTTGAAACACGTGCTCCGAACCGTGACTGCTGCACAGACACATCTAATATCACGGAACTACTTTGAAATGACACCAAAGGCCTTTTCTCTCTCCAGAACTTAAGGAGTCCAACTTACACAACAACCCAGCTGCACTCTTCAACTGTGCGGGCACGGTGGAGTTGATCATTCCGCCAAATTATCCAAATAAATCCCAGCTCTGGGCTTGAAAGAACAAAGAACAAAACCAATGTTTTGTACACAAGCAACTTGGCTGAGACTCATAAAACTGGCCAAACACAAAAAAAATTTGGTTTTATTTCACATGGGCGTTTCGGCTTTGCGTCTGGCTCAGCAGTGAAAGTGGTACTGCCAAAGCAGGATGCCTCTGCTGCAAAGTTGATGTTAAAGTTGATGTAAAGTTGATGTTAAAGTGCCTTGACATCATTCGCAACAGTAAACCATTGTGTTGCTGCGTCACAACCAAACGTCTACTTCTGTAAATGTCCAAAAAAATTATTTTTTTGTAAAATATTTGACCAGGTAAGGGCCACGGAGCTATATAGCTCTTTATCAGAAGCCACCTGACCAACAAAAGTCTCGGGTGTGTGACTGTGGTCACCCAGTCCAGCGTCATGGGGCATCGAACAACGACTCAACGCCCGATTCACAAATACAAAGGAGGAGGCATCATCATCATCATCACAGCGATGCACCACTCCGCTACTCCCGACGCAATCATCCGGCTCAACCACAGCCGCCGCTCTACGCCAACACGAGCCGTACGAAGACAAAGATTGTCACAACAGCACGTGGTGCACTTTTCTGACAACGTGTTCCCCTGCTGCGGCTGCTGAGTCTGTTTACAGATTGGGGGGGGGGGGGGGGGATCGTCCATCACAGTTGCGATGTGTTCACCGTGGAGGGCAGGACGGTAACGCCGTGTTCAGCATCGTCGCTGCTCATGGTGTACTCTGCAGTGTACTGTACTCTCAAATGTACTCTGCATTGTACCATGCAGTGTACCATGCATTGCACCCTGCATTGCACCCAGCAGTGTATCCTGCATTGCACCCTGCAATGTACCCTGCATTGTCAGTGTGCTTGGTGAGAATGCTCTTTGCAGTCTTGCAGGCCGGGCACAAGATCTGTTCTGCACGCTGTAACGACGCATGGGTAGTCACCCCCTCTGAGGCCGACTATGGTACCCACCTTTTTCTGTCGGCGATTCCTTCTCTGCGTAACGTAAAGAACAAAGTGTTTGTAGACAATAAGGCAAAAGATATTGGCACGATTCAGTAAATTAACCGACAGCACAGACCGAATTAACGACAGCGCGTTAGTTTTACGCACAACTGTCCTCCCCGCTGCCCATGGAGTACCCTCATTGTGCGCTTGCATGTAACGTGCGGTCTCCAACTGCAGTCCAAGTCAAATGTGGCAGTCTCGTTTCTCCACCACCACCGCCTACAAGGGCCACAGCCCATAGATCAAAATACTCGACTGCATTCACCGTTGTGGACATTGGCCACAAATGCGTTTCTGCTTTACGGCGGCGTTATCGGTGGCGCTGGCACGGCGATGTTTTGAGGAACTCTCCGTTTTGTCGTGTGTGCGAATCTCTGCTGGCGCATGACCATCATTTTTAACCGGCAAATCTGGTTGCCAACACAAAGTACGGTACACCACCGACTGCTTTCTCTCTGCTCACAGCCGCCGTGCACAGATAGAGGCAAGCGATAACGCCCCTGGACCCCACGGTTGGGGACGTGCAAGGGTGGCCACCGAGTGCCTGGTATGTGTGTGTGTGTTATTTTAGTGTCTCTGCAGATGGTAGTAGGCGCCAGGAAATATGACCTACACAGTTATGAAGTCCCCTGACAACGTCGATGATCGCCACGCCACAGGTTGTCGATCGCCGTGTGGGGAGCGTTCGTGGTGTCATTGTTTAATACATATTGTGAACACGGAGCGCGTAGTGACCGGAAAACGAGGGGTTTTACAGACGGTTTAATTTTGTGAGAGTCGTCTATGAAATGCGCGACACCACGGCGATTTAAACAACCCACGATGTGGCTACCAATGTAACAAAACACAGCAACGCTCGTAGCCTGGACAACAATGGTAAACTCTTCACCTACTTTGGTGTCCAATCATCGAATATAAACGTGTTAAAATTCAAATTGAAAATACAGGATTTTTTTTTTATACTTTCACACTTGTACTCAAACACGTGTCCAAAGCAAACCAATATACACAATGTGGAAGCCGTCAATAAAACTCATTATAGCGATATTTGTGTGTCTGTGCAGCCTCGTGGCACACCGAGAGGCGGGCCACTCTTCTGCGCCGACCCGGGAGATTGGGTGTCAATTGTTTGTTTCGTGGCAATGCTGCAGGAGCTGACAAAGGGAAGGCGGCGATGGCAAGGTGTGGTGGGCCTCCTTGGTGTTGTGTTAGTCCACAGCAGTTAGGCCATCATCCACAAACGGTACGTGCTGCTGTGTCGGCTTCATACTCTTTAGGAATCATCAGTGCAACAAAACCTATTATCATGCGGTCACAAAAGTGTATATTTTTTATAGATACCCTTCAAGTTTACGCTGTGAGTGCCGGTCCACTCCACAGTCAATCGCCGCCATCTCCGCTAGCCAGCTTGTGGCGACCACCAGATCGTTCCGCGCACTCGAACTGCGTGATTTAAACATCACGGCTTCGCGGTCAGCGGTCCATTGTCCTGGAACTCACCTACCCACTCACTCAATACTCAGCCATCCGTCGGCCTGGAGCTCACCTACCCACCTACCCACCCACTCACCTACTCACCCATCCACTCACCTACTCGGTGGTCCGTTGTGCAGAAGCGGCGACTAAACGGGCCCTGGTGGAGGGTTATCAGACGCCCTCGTAGAATAACAACTAAAGTCAGGAGGGGGCTTCCTGTAGGCAGATGGAACCCACCAGGTCATTGTGACAATGCCACTAAAAGTCATTTGTTTGACACTTTGCGAGTGGGAATCTCTGGAAAATTCCCAGCTTGTCCTGTGGTTACCCTGTCGCTGGGAAGAGAGACGGCCGCCCCCTTACCCGATCCGTGGATTCGGCCTCACACCCACACCCACCGAGATCCCGGGCCACGCACGTAAACGCGCGTGCACACGCACACACACACGCACGCACACACATGCACTCACGCGCGCACTCACGCGCGCACTCGCACACACGTGCACGCGCACGCGCACACACGCGCACGCACGCACACGCGCGCACGCGCGCACTCGCACGCACTCACGCGCACTCACACACACGCGCA